TTGGGAGCCCAGTCCCCAGCGGCAGAGTGTCCTACAGGGAATAGAGAGCCCAGTCTCTTTTCCCCAGCAGCAGGACTCTGTATTGGGAGCAGAGACAGTCGGTCTCCCTTCCCCGCGGCTGGAAGTATGTATGGGAGAGGAGCTTGTTACCCCCTCTCCCCAGTGGCAGCTTAACGTACCAGGGGGAGACAGTAAGCCCCACAACCGTGCAGATGGGACCGTGGTCTCTGCATTTATAGCACAGGGGGTAGGGATGGTCGGTCCTACCCCCCAGCAAAAGGGCTGTTTAGCCAAAGGGGAGACAGTCAGTCTCCCCCTCCAGCAGCAGAGCTGTGTATCTAAAGAGAGACAGTCGGTCTCCCCCTTCAGCAGCAGAGCTGTCTATCTAAAAGGGAGACAGTCGGTCTCCCCCTCCAGCAACCAGGCTCCAACCAGGCTACCTCCACAGTAGCGCTGGCACCAGGGCAGAGTAACGCTGGTCTCTGCCTACTCAGTAACCCACCAAAGCAGCCTACCAGTCCCCCGCACAACTGTGGTGAGGCACCTGGACATGGACAAGCTTCTCCTCTACCCAGGTGTAGTAACCATTTATTGTGGGTGGGCTGTACTGCTGATTGTGTTTTGTGGGTGGGCTGCTGAACTAACAAGGGCACTGACCGGCAGGAGGTCAGATACCCTGTTAGTCTGTTTGGAAAAGGGGAGAGATGTGATGAGACCAATCTCGCCACATTGCATTGGAGAAGCCTGGTTTCTCGCCTGTTGCCTTTGGACTATGGCCCCATGTTAAAAGCCTTCTTTTCCCCTGCAGAAAAGGCTTATTTAACCGGATGCCTGTTCATGCGGTAGTTTAAACCGTATGAACAGCATTACCCCAGAGAGCCATCCCGTGGAGTCTATTCGTATGGCGAACAGACTTTGTGAACACTTTCTCTGAAACTGCTATGTTTATAAAAAAAAATGGGTTAATCCTAGAGGGGCCTGGCACCCAGACCACTTCATTAAGCTGAAGTGGTCTGGGTGCCTAGAGTGGTCCTTTAACAATGAAGGCACAGTCGCAGTTTAGAAATTGCCCTTCAAATTTGAGCTGGCTAGATTGGAGTTTCAATGAATGTCAATGGACGGCGTGAGTTGCAAATAAATGGTCACATTGTGAAAACTATCTGGACTATGGCTTAGCTGTGGACATTTTTAGTGGCAGCAGGGATAGCTGAACGTTTTGATATACAATTTGTGTAGGTGGGTTTGAAAATGTGGGAGTGGTAGCAGTTTAGAAATCATGTCCTGATTTTTCAGCTTTTGCCAGCTCCCACTCTAGTTTTGAACATTTTGCCATTCATTCCTATGGGAAAAATTTCCCACAAGAACGACAATATTCCATGGACCATTAGGCGAAACGTTCCACAAAGTAATAGCAATCCAATCGGGAACAATCTGCACGTTTCGGTATATTACTGTTTATGTAGTGTAAAAACTGTGGGAGGAGTTAGGGTGGTAAATCTGGCTATAATAAGAATAACTAGAAAAGCTACAATTTCTGGGGAAATTGTGTGAAGTGTTCTTGCCTCCACCAGTTGATATAGCACATTTAATTGCAACGTTGTTGCCCAAAGTACTTCACAGTTACATTAAAACATACATTTATAAAAACATTAGCAGGTGTACAAAAGGCCCTGTCTATGACATCACGTGCTGCTGCAGCCTGACACAGGTCAGAGTATTTTGTCGGTTGCCATCTTCAAACGGTCGTTTTAGGCAGAGAGCAGTTGTTTCCCCAATTTAATTTTTTTAAACTTAGGCCCCTTTGTAAAACCTGTGTGACTCTTACTTATAGTGCCACAGGCCCAAGTTGCAAATAGTTCAGCATTTTCAGGAGTGGAATGCTGTTATAGAAATTATCAATATGTTGGTGATACCCCATGTTGAACAGAGTTGATGAGTTTCCATACAATTTTCAAACTTGTTCTCATCATATGTGAACAATCTGTGAGATCACGGTGGATGTCTTTTCCCTCATACACACAGAAGCGTATACATATCCATTGCCACTTTCACAAAGTTTATATCATTTAAAGGAACACTAAAAGCTTAGGGATACAAAGCTTTGATTTTGGTCTCATTAGTATGCTGTATTTTCTTTTTTTTTGCATGCTCAAATCATTATAGATTTTGCACAAAAAATAAATGCTTTGCAGAATGCTGCACCATAAGTTTGTCTCCTGAACAGCACTGCTAATGCCGGAAAGACTTCTTTATCAAAAGTATGCACAAAGCTCATTCACTGACAATACCATATCTCTCAATTTTGGCTTTGCTGGGAGCCATCAGAACATTTTTCTGTGTCAGTTATGTGTTGTTGGTTTCCACTTGATAAAGCCCTATGTAGTGAAACACATTGTGGATTTTTTTAAAAGCATTCTAATTAAAGAGATATTTGCTAATTTTATACTGTGATTGTGTAGTTTTACTTTTTTATTTTTGCCTGGCATCCTGTTCATCATTCGAGAGGATACCATGAAAGAATTCTAGGTGGGGATTGTACCACTTATGCCTTATTCATTGAGCGGTGTGTCTGCTCAATTAAATGTGAGTACTTTTTTTTTTTTATTACTCCTGGTTTAGTGTACACAGTGAGCACTATTGTTCTCATTTTTTTTCATTTTTGGGCTCATGGTCCCTATACCATACTGTGAAAACTGCACTGCTGATTACACTACTACACGTATCCTACAAGTGGGGATTATACCACTGTACACCCAACATACTAGAGCTGGTCTTAGCTCTATAAAACAAGTAGGACTATGTAAGACTTGCATTTTAAAAGTACCACATAATATTGGAACACATTGCACTATTGGCTTTCTTCTTTTTTTTCATTTTGTATATTTATATGGTTCCCAAGAAACGTTGGATCCGGTATCCCTATAAAATGGACAAAAAGACTCCTCTATGGGATTTGGCTGATACATTTGCAAGATTACACACTGACTTTGGACTTTTATATTTGCTACTTGTTCCTTGTTTATTTGTTTTAGTGTTTTAATATCCCAAACACATTTATTCATAATTGGCACAGCCTTTTCCTGTAAATGGAGTTCCCAAGCCTACTTACTCCTATTTACAAAGGTGTTTCATGGGAGGACTCTTGTCCTGTATTTTATTTTTTTCAAATATTTGATGTTATGGGACTCTAAAGCTTATTGACGGCTCCAACCCCCACAATATAGCCCAGATAATAACCATACCAAACTCTTTGTTATTGTAGACTTGAAATTCTCCTGCTAACAGGGGAGTGTGACTTCAATGCTGGAAATAGGCTATCCCTGTTGTACTTCTTTTAATTATTCTTATTTGCTTCCATAGATACTAATGTCCCACTTAAACTGTAACACTGGGGGATTTACCCCCTCACAAGCCAAACACATATATTTGATAATATCTGGTTAGTAGTACATTGGATTTCACCAATTGACCTAGGCATGGATTCTACTTCTCTCTTTCTCAGGGACTCTCACCTTCTCCCTTCTATTTTATGAAGCTTTTATTTCTGTTTTCCAAAGGCATGCTTGGGCAACATTATATGCTTTAATTCTGGACCCTTGTACACCTTATTGATTAGGTAGTGCTACCTTGAGATATCAATAAGATGCCAATGATTTTGCCTAATTGCTTGTGTGTTCTAATTGTAATGTGTAGAAGGTGATACAATCTATGTATTTTCACGTATTCATCCGCACATAAAAATGTGGTCAATGGCATTTACTGTCCTGACAGGAAACGTTGTGCTGAGCAACATTACTGTCCTGACAGTAAAAGTTGTGCCGAGCAGCAATCAAATCCACAGGAGGGTTTGTGCTGAGCAGCAATCATGCAAATGGAAACCTGGTAATTGCCTTTGTGGTCAAGGGCCGGTTACAGCCAATCGGATCCGCAGGAGGGGTATTTAGGCCCGGTTCTCCTCTTGCTCACTACCCTGTCATGGTTTCATGCCTATGGTTATCTGAGAGTGCGTTCCTGATGTTGATTTTCTGGTATTTGACTTTGGCTTTGTTTTGACTTCCCTGATATCTGGTATCCTTGACTTTTGGCTTTCCCTCATCTTTGTGTCTGATTCTGTGTCCCTGACCTCGGCAAGTATTTTGACTATTCTTGGAGAAGTTAAGTCTGGTCAATCTAAAGTCTGGTTATACGTTATCCTTAGTCCTAGGTGTGACACAGTACTGCGTGCTGGATCAATTTGTAATCCTGACATGTATGTACCTTCGTTAATGATACTGCTCACCTCAATTTACTGCATTCTGTACTTGCTCCATTCTTAATTTCCTACTCTTTATTTCTCGTTTCCTTACTTGTATCTTGCGTTTTTCCATACCTTGTATGGCTTTTACTGCTACTTTGGGATGCATGTCAGATTATTAAATGCCTTAAGATTAGCATATTGCCCACTTTCACCATGGACTTATTTATTTGGAATTATTTTGTATGCAGCAGTGCATTCTGTTTTGCTTTTGTATGCGGCATCTCAGTCTGTTCCAAATGTTTCTAATGTGTATACCTTATACATTACTTAGGGATGCATATTTAATTAAAGGAGCACTATAGGGTCAGGAATAAAAATGTGTATTTCTGACCCTATAGTGTTAAAAGCACATTTTAGGTCTCTGCTCCTCCTTTCTATAGGAAAGCATTGTATTGGCTGAGATAGTCAATTATGATAAATCAATGCATTTCTATGGTGAAAGTTCAGCATCTCTATGCAGAGCATGAAGATGCTGAATGTCAGTGCTGCACATTGTGTAGCACTGACCCAGAAATCATCTCTAGTGGCCATCTGCCACGGAGGGTGTTCCTATGGAAATATGAAGTGTCTGAGGACTACCCAATATCCACTCTGTATAATTTCATTACATGTATGGGAAATATATAATGGATGTGTCAAAGATATATGATATTAATTTGGCTATCATGGTGTATTTGTAAAATGATTATATGTTTATAGCGTATTGCATTAAATTACACAATGTTTATTTTTAAAATATGTTTAGATAAGGGTTGTAAAAAAAACCACAACATCCACAACTACAAGATCCTCTTCAATCAATCATTTTTGTGAAAAAAGAAAACTTAACCCTCCAGCAAGAATCCCAACAGCAAGAGCAGATAATACAGCTGGAACTGTATTATCTTCTTCTGTATTATGTTTTTCAATATTCTCAGATGTTACATTACAAAGACCATACATGCAAGCCTCACAATGATCCGTGTCATGCGGTCCACGTGTTTTAAAATATGTATGTGGTGCTAATTTTTTTCCCACACTTTCCTTTTTGTAAACTTTTCTCTGGATATAGTTGACCAGATTAGTGACAGCCCTTTTGATGTTCTCCTCTGCGATATTAGGTTCTGACATCGGAGAATTGCATTTCTTACATGCCTGTCTGAAGATCCTCATCCTCACAATGCCTTGTCTCGGCCTTAGGTTCAGATTCACAAAGAAACAGATTACATTTTCTTCTGTGTGCCAGAAATGTTTGCATCTGGAGCACTTGAAGCTGAATGGGACAAAGGAGATAACAATATAAGACTGACGAAATAACACTTTGAATTATTTTTGAAGGCATGCCAAAAATCACCTACAGCTTTCAGGTTGCCTAAAGTATATAGTTTCCGTATTCACCATGTTTACTTGGACATCCATAATTTCATCATGTTGATTGGCCACACGTGATAATTCTGCTCTGTTGTGTATAGATTTTATATTAGGGATCGACCGATATAACATTTCCAGAGCCGAAAGAGAGCTGATTTTCTGTTCATTTAAAGTTTTGAAAAAGCAATACAATTTCTACACAAATCTGACATTAACTGAACGTGCTGTCAGCAATCACACTACTATCATTCTCATGAAGCCAGTACATGCTGGGATCATAGAGATCTCAGCATGCACAGTGCTCTTACTGATAGGAGTGTGATTGCTGACAGAAATCACACCCCTTTTACTATTAGGCAGCCAGCCCTGTACATTACAGTAAAATTTTCACTGTCTCACATCCCTGCCTGCAGCTGAGCTCCACATACAGAGACTCACAGGGAGGGATAACATGTGATCGTAACCTCGGCACCTCCTTGGCTGGTGGCTGGAGTCAGGGCCAGATTAAGAGCCCAGTGGGCCTGATGCTGACAATTATGATGGGTCTAATTACAGAATCTTATCGACCAAAAACACTAAAACAGTCATACCTGTCAAGCGTCATGTATCTGATAGAGTTGGTGTTGGAGGGAAACTCAAAGGATGCAGCTATAAGAAAACACATACTCTATGCTAATCTTTTCATCTAATTAATGCTTTCATCTTTCTAGTAAATCCATACCCCCTAACAGCAGTGCCCAGTGAAGCAGGAAGTCAATGGGTTGGGTAAAAGGGTGGGCCACTGATGCAAACCAGAACTGCCAAAAGGGGCGAAGATGCCCAAAAAGGGGGTATGTCTGTCCAAAGAATTGGAAGGCCAGACTGACATCAGTGTCCCTATGTATCTCAGTATCAGTGTCCCAATGTCGCCCAGTCCCCTAGTCTCCCAGTGTCCCGTATCACTAGGATGGGGGAGACATGGGGACACTGAGAGATGCAGGGACACTGAGACACATGGGGCCACTGAGACGCTTGGAGACATGGGGGTACTTGTGGATACAGACATGGGGACACTGAGAGACATGGGGACACTGGGAGAAATGGGGTCACAGACACTACGGACACATAGACATGGGGACACAGACATTGGGAGACATGGGGACACTGAGATATTTGGAGACTAGGAGACACTGACACTAGGGACACTGGCTGGGAGGCATGGGGACACAGACACTTGGGGACACTTGAAGACATGGGGGCACTTGTGGAGATAGACATAGGGACACAGACATTTGAGGACACTGGGAGACATGGGGACACAGACACTGGGAGACACGGGGACACTGAGACACTAGGGACACTGGCTGGGAGACATAGGGGCACTGGGTGACATGGGGACACAGACACTGGCTGGGGGACATGTGGACACTGGGAGACATGGGACACAGACATTTGGGGACACTCAGAGACATGGGGAAATAGGGAGACTAGAGGACACTATGAGACTAGGGGACACTGGCTGGGAGACATGGGGACACTGGGAGACATGAAGACACCGTGTCCCTAGTGTCTCCATGTCCCAAGGTGTCTCCTTATGTCTCACAGCATCCCCATGTGTCTCAGCATCCCCATGTCTCACAGTGTCCCCTAGTGTCTGTGTCCCCAAGTGTCTCAGTGTCCCCTAGTGTCTCAGTGCCCCCATGTCTCCCTGCTGCCTTTCCCCCCATCCCTCACATATCTGAGCTGTACTCTATCTCTGTAGGCTGGGAGCTGCTGTCTGTCCCCTAGTCTCCCAGTGTCCCTATGTCTCAGTGTGTCCCGTGTCACTAGGATGGGGGAGACATGGGGACACTGAGAGACCCCGGGACACTGAGACACATGATGGCACTGAGATGCTTGGAGACATGGGGGTACTTGTGGATACAGACATGGGGACACTGGGAGACATGGGAACACTGAGAGATATGGGGACACTGGGAGAAATGGGGTCACAGACAGTAGGGACACAGAGACATGGGGACACAGAGACATGGGGACACTGAGACATTTGGAGACTAGGGGACACTGACACTAGGGACACTGGCTGGGAGGCATTGGGACACAGACACTTGGGGACACTGGAAAACATAGGAGCACTTGTGGACATAGACATGGGGACACAGATATTTGAGGACACTTGGAGACATGGGGACACAGACACTGGGAGACATGGGGACAGTGAGACACTAGGGACACTGGGAGACATGGGGATACAGACACTGGCTGGGAGACATGTGGACACTGGGAGACATGGGGACACAGACATTTGGGGACACTCAGAGACATGGGGACACTGGGAGACATGGGGACACTGGGAGACATGGGAAAACAGGGAGACTAGGGGACTCATGGGGACACAGACACTAGGGGACACTGTGAGACATGGGGATGCTGAGACACATGGGGACACTGTGAGACACAGGGAGACACAGTGGGACACTGAGACACTGGCTGGGAAACATGGGGAGACATGGAGACACTGTGTCCCTAGTGTCTCCATGTGTCTCACAGTGTCTCCATGTGTCTCAGCATCCCCATGTCTCACAGTGTCCCCTAGTGTCTGTGTCTCCATGTTTCCCAGTGTTCCCAAGTGTCTCAGTGTCCCCACATCTTCCAGTGTCCCCTAGTGTCTCAGTGTCCCCATGTGTCCCATAGTGTCTCAGTGTCTCCATGTCTTCCTGCTGCCTTTCCCCCCATCCCTCACATATCTGAGCTGTAGTCTGTCTCTGCAGGCTGGGAGCTGCTGTCTGGACTCTCTGTGCTGTGTAGCTGCAGTGAGTAGAGAGAGGCAGGGAGATGCTGTAACTTCCTATCCCTGCCTCTCTCCATACACAGTGAACCCTACAGGCCGGTGCTGGTATTGCAGAGTAATCTCCGTTTATACTGAGAAAAATATTTGCATTTGTATTGCCGGTATTACTGCAATACCGTCATGGCCAGGCAGCCTTAAATACTGGCTGTGCCTTAAAATACCAGTCAGGTGGCAAACCTAAGGGTAGTGTGTAAAAAAAAATAAAAAAAATATATATATTTTTTTTTTTTTAAATGGGCCTATTCCATGGGCCTGGGCCTGGGCCTGGAGCTGCAGCTCCATCAGCCCCTATGTTAATCCGGCCCTGGCTGGAGTCTCGAAGACGATGTGCTATGACTAAGAGAGCTGAGCTTGTTTTCAGTAATAACAGAAAATTACAAGACAATACAGATTATTAGAAATATGCAGACTATCAGCTCTAATAATCGTCGGAAACGATAATCTGTCTATCCCTGATATGGCACTATGGCCCTCTGTTCATTAGTTTCGCTACTGACCTGTTTATACCTGCTAAAGGTTTATTGTTTGTTGAGCATGCCATTTATAGTACAATGTACTTTTTAACAGTTCCTCAAAGCACAAATAGTAATCAGTTATGTTTTTCTTAAAACCATATGAATCTCAATTCATCCCTGCTATTATTTGTTAATTTACATATGTTAATACTCTGAAATGCTTAATAAGCAATATTTTTTTACCTTCTTGTCGAAACAGCTGGATAAGTAGACACATATATTAAGCTATTTGTATATGATTTGAGAGAGCTCCATAATAAAAATAAAATTCAAAGCAATTTCGGATCTAAATAAAAATGAAATCATCAGGTAGATGCTACAGTAATTTCAGATAAATAGGACTTCCTGTATGATGGAGGTTTTAAGACAAGTTTGGAGTTTAGATTTATAAGGTCAGGTATTCCCATTGTTTAATACTGAATATGAGAGACTGCATAGTATTTTTTATTTTGTTTTACAAATTTACTCTAGAGATGTCCCAATTTTTTCTTCCAGCATTATACATACAGAGACCTATGTGCCACACAAAGCTGCTAAAAGAACAACATTTTTAAATATAATAGTAATTTCTTCAAGTTTTGAAAGGAAGTTTTTTTTGTTTTTCTTTAAATTAATCATATATAAAAAAAAAAGAGAGAAAAATGTATCACTACCTTTAGTATATTGCAGGATCCTTCAGCCATATACATACACCTTGGGGTCAGATAGTATTTGAAAACATCTCTATGATCTTCCCCGATTCCCTCCCTGCACAGAAACAGAGAAGACCATAGAGACTAACTGTTGGCCCAAGGTGTATGTATATATGAAAGGTAGGGATGGAAGAATGAAAGGAATATTGTATTAAAAAATTGTTTTTATGTGACAGTTCTCCTTTGACAGTACCTAAGTAGGAGAAGAAGGAGGGTAGGCTCATGTAATATTTCAGGTTATATATCAAGGCTGCAGCAATGGCCTGCCATGCCATTTGTAATCCAGCTAGCAGTTATGAGGTAGAAAATGTTACCGTAAATGGGCAAATAGTTACTGTCTTATGCATAAAGTGAAGTATTTTGTGGATTTACCTTGCAAAGGTTTTCTGTTTATAAGATGTTTTTGCAATCTCTATATCAAGTTCAGTATCTTCAGTCAAATACCACAAATCTGAGATATCAGAGTTTTCTATCTCTCTATTCAGAATCATTTGCCACTTTGCACTCATTGTGAATCCAGTAACGCACTGATGATAATTCTCCTCTTTTTTTTTTTTCTGAAACAGAGAACAATATTGATAACTTCAAATGTGTTAAACTATCATTTTCTTTTCATGGGTCAAAGTAATGTAGGTGCATCCACAGAATCTGTTTTCAATATATTACTGTTAAATTGTTGTGGTTGTGATATTTTTGTATGATTCAGTGGATCAGTGGATCAAATTAAGTGTGAATTTATGTAAATACTCTACTACTTAGTATTTTTTAGCCACCCAATCAAAATGTTTAATAAAAAGGTTTGCAGATTGTTGATTTGGACAAAATCTTTTTTAGATATTTTTTTTTTAAATTTGTATTTTATTAGGTTTTATAC